GTATACTAGAAGCACATAAGTGTCTTTTCCAAGAATCAGAAAATATAAAAGATATTATTTCAATTTCTTAAGTAGTAAGATATACTGATGTACTTTCAATAGTTTGTCGTAAATCAAGCTTTATAGCTATTTTGTCTGCAGCAAGATTGCTCTTCCACTTCTATCTTCTTGACATTCCTAAAATGAAAATCCTGGATGGTGCACCTCCCTTACCCCCCCCCCCCCCCCCCCCCCCCCCCCCCCCCCCCCCCCCCCCCCCCCTCAAGGTATCCTGGATCCACTCCTATGACCCACTGAATTGTTGCCACCTAAAGTTATAATGATTTGACATGACATTCACAAAACAAATGGGTTTATTTTATCATTGACCTATCTGCCTCACTTTCATGTTAGAAACAAGGGCATGTTACAGTTACAGATGTTCTTAGTTATATTCAGATCAATAGTATAGCATCAATTAATAATTAGTATAATGAATAAATGCTACAAAGTTCTAGGATTCAAAAGAAAATACACACAAAATGAAAAACGTAATTTAGTAAAAATAAGTTCAAACCATAAATGAATCAAGGTAATCAAATTCAAATGTACATCATAATTAAATTATAATTATAATTATTATGTTATCTGCAACAAAGTATAGAGTACCAACGTGTAATGTCATCAAATTCAAAATTTTGCAATTTTTTTAAATGTGTTACTTCCAGAAATTATCCATACCCCCTCACAGAGAAATTTTTTAAAAGACCCTCCCCTCCCTGAATTGTTTTCCTTTTTTTACACCAGRGGAAGTTTAATGACACAGGTGTCCTATTACCTTCAAAAAGATTTAAAATCTTAGATGTAAAACTGCAGGTTCGATCAAAATCTTAGATACAGTCACAAGATGGTGCTAGAATACCTTGAAACAAGGCTAACTCACTGATAGAACCCTGAAACAACCTCTGGGTTGATCTAAGTCAGGGCACGGCTAACTCACAGATCAAATCCTGAAACAACCTCTAGGCTGATCTAAATCAGGGAACGGCCAACTCACAGATCGAACCCTGAAACAACCTCTAGGCTGATCTAAGTCAGGGCACGGCTACCTCACAGATCAAATCCTGAAACAACCTCTAGGCTGATCTAAATCAGGGAACGACTAACTCACAGATCAAATTGGAATTGATGGTTTTCAACCGTTCCCAAGAGAATTAAATAACAAAAGACATGGCAACCATGTTGGAGGACAAACAATTCTTTTGTTAAGTTCCTCCAACATAGCCGCCATGAAAACCATCAATTGAGCATGTTAGGATTTGCAGAGAGAGTTGAACCAAAAAAATTGGAGAAAAAGTCTCAAATCAAGAGAGAGATCTAACTAAAAAACTCTGCTAGAATGTGATGCAGAGTACAGCAATCAAACCCAAGACCACAGAGGTGATAGATGAGCATACACGTACTGTACTACCGCTACACAACTTTTGATTCCATTTCATCAATCAACAAATTACAAGTCATTAGTAAACTGTGATATACTCCTCAAAGATAGGAAGATGCTGCAATGCTGTAACTTCCGAGGTGGAATTTGCACGTTTTTATCCATACATCAACTATTTCTCAATGAATATTTAAAATCCATAGACTAAAGGGCTGGAAACATTAAAAAACACATATATTTTTTGAATTCGATAAGTCATACATTAAGGTAAATCAAACAGTAAGGTCTAGCAAAAACTGTGGTCCTGCAAAATTCCTCTTGAAGCAGCCATTCATTTCTATCTTTTTTTTTTGATTAATTTGTCCTATCTTTTTTTTTATTTTTGATTAATTTGTCCTATTTTGACTTCAGTTATGCAAAGAAGTGGCATTGTGTGGTTCCAGAAAATATCCATACCCTGCTGAGGCAATGGGTAATTCCCAAGGTGGGGGGGGGGTGTGTGCGTTGTATGGTTTGCATGGAAGAAAATTGGAAATTCCAAAAGTGGTGTGGAATGGATATTTTCTGGAACCACTAATAGATGCTCTAATCTAGATAATAATTATGTGTGGAACTGRTTAAGGATGTAAAGTTTGAGAAATTAATGGCCACAAAACAAGGAATTTTGCAATAAGCAATAGAGAAAAATATTGGAAGGATATAAAACTACAAATCTATATGAATGCCTCTTTTGATTCGTGTTAGCCATCTGGCTATTAATAGATATTATTTAACACTTTATTAGTCTTACTACAGATCCCAATGAATGGTGTTTTCATCAGAAAAATACAACATATTTCTGGTAGCATGTTTTTGGTGATACAAATTCAAAATCCAGAACAGCGGAAACAGAGACAAAAAATTTGCAAGAAGAATTGGAAAAGTGGTTTTCATCATCCTGTGAAACAGGTTTCTTTTGTTTTCTATTGTCTTTTTGTGACTAATATTACACTCTAATTATACAGCTTCTCATTAATCCCATATAGGTAACTGTCCAATTATTTTCTTAATTGGACAGGTCTTGTTGATATGGGATTAATTAGGCAGCTATATAATTAATAGGTAATGGGATTTCATGCTCCCCAATCAAGAAATAATTAGACTCAAAAAATTCCTCTGACTGCCAAATTGGACTCGGCCTACGCCCTCATCCTATTTTGGAAGTCCTCGGAATTTTCCTCATCCAATTATTTCTTAATTGGACAGCATGGAGTCCTATTACATATACTAATTAGTACACTTTGTTTCATGGTTAATGGAAACCACTCTAAGTCTAAATCTTCACATAAAATTGAGTAAACAAAGTAATGACTGATGAGAAATGATATTGAAAACATGCTTTCAAGCTCTTCCTCAAAATGGAAACATGGTTCACTGGAATTTGTAGCAAATGCTAGTTGTCATGACATTAATTTTATCCCGGGGGGGGGGGGGTACTCTTGCCCGTTTAGGGTAGGGATGTGCCGCTGRGCCCTCTGAACCCTRACCCTGTTCCAGAGTAAAAATTGCTGAAATTCAAACCCTGTTCCAGAGCAAGATCGCTGAAAATCATACCATGTTCCGGTATTGCGAAAATGGATACCCTGTTCCAGAGAGGAGAGAGCGTGATTTTATATACCCTGCCCTAGAGTAGAATCGCTGAAATATACCTGTTCTAGAGTAGAATCGCTGAAAACCATACCCTGTTTGGCGGCATGTACCCGTATAGTGAAAATAGGGGAGTACCCCTCCCCCCCCGGAATTTTATCAGCTAAATTAAGCATTCATTATTTATCAAGTCAACAATTACAAGTAAAATATCAAAATATTGCCTAACTATCAATGAGATTGTCAGGAAAAAAGTAAAAATCTTTCCTAAGCATTGAAACGATACTTGGAATCTGCTTCTTGCGGTCAGAGTAAGGGTCGTTGGTTCTTGACTGATATGTCGAGACAAGAGCATTCACCCTAGTCATCATTGTAAGCAGATCTGTTGTTTTGGCGTACTTGTTTAYGACCTCGACGAACGACTGGATGAACCAGGATCCATTGACAGAGTTTCGCCAGGAATAGTAGCCAGGAACAGTAGAGTAAGCATACAAGAAGTCTGCTTCCACAGGTATCTGGACGCGCTTGTCTGGGGGCGGGGCATCTGTGGCATCTTTACCATCCATGTATTCATGACCTGGAAAAATTACRAGGAAATGAAGAGAGTGGTCGTTATAACCTGACTAGGGAGGGGAGGATGGGGTGAAGGCTGAAGGTTTCGGCTGGAAGGGAGTAGAATTAAGCTGCGGATACATGGTGCAACATGGGGTGACACACATTAAACCATCCTTTTTTCACRAGGGTAGCSCTTAATAGCCAKTGGCTAACAAACCTGTGGCCCTCATTCCGTGATCGAATTGGAATTTAGGAGTTGATTTTTGCGGAGGAAGGAAAGCCAGAGAACCCGGAAAACCCTCTAAAAAACTCTACTCATATACAACACTGAATCCGGCGAAACTCGAACTCGAGTTGCATTGATGAGAGGCAAGCGCTCACACCGCTACGCCACCTGTGCTTCCCACATTRCTTTCCGTGCATTGCCACAAAATCATGCAACACTGCTTGTGTCAGCAAGCTATGCTAAGAAATTTGGACAGCAATTATAAATTTGTTGCAAGCTGATTGGTTTGAAATTTCAAAATGTGGTACGCAATGTTGCAGCCATGTTCACACCATGAGATTAGTTGCATGCAATGTTGCAAGAGTAGAGCTGGATTCAACTTCTGATTTGTTGCATGCAATGTTGTGTGCAACAAGTTTCAGGGATAGACACACACTGCAACAGTTCTGTTGTGTGCAATGTTGYGTGCAATRTTGAACCGTGTGTCTTAAGCTTTGGGGGAGTAGTAYRTTTAGAGGCTTTGCACCATCACGTGGCAGCAGCCATGTTACAGAACAGGAACATAATACTGTACAATCATTTCACATTAGAAAGAATTCGATTTCTGAAGAGGGATGTTATTTTTCTACCATCCAACCACAGGCAGCCCAAGCTGTATTAAGGGTGTCGGCAGGTGATGATGCAAAGCCTTTATTGAATCAAGGGTGGTGTAGCAGCAAAAGCACTCGCCTCTCACCTCTAAGCTCACAGGTTTGATTTCTGGAGTARGCATAATGTGTGAGTAGAGTTTGTCAGATCTCTCCCTTGATTGGAGGCTTTTTCTGTGCAAAACCTAACATGCTTAATTAGCCATGCCCWGACTTAGAACAGCCCTGAAGTTGTTTCAGGGTTCATAATCTGCGAGTCAGCTGTGCCCTGACTTAGATCAGCCCAGAGGTCCTTTCAGGGTTCAATCTGTGAGTTAGCCGTGCCCTGACTTAGATCAACCCAGAGGTTGTTTCAGGGTTTGATCTGTGAGTTAGCCGTGCCCTGACTTAGATCAGCCCAGAGGTTGTTTCAGGGTTTGATCTGTGAGTTAGTCATGCCCTGACTTAGATCAGCCCAGAGGTTGTTTCAGGGTTCAGTCTGTGAGTTAGCCATGTCATGATTTTGATCAGCCCAGAGGTTGTTTCAGGGTATTGATACAAAAATTATTAAGGAATGGAGAGAAGAAAAAGAGGCTGGGAGGAAGTGAGGACAGAGGAGGAAATTCTTACCTTGGCAGGCTTGAAATATGAAGATTTTTGGTTTACCGACAAGGTTTGATCCTTTAAACCATCCCATCATCTCTCTGATCATTATCGTACCATCAGTAGCATACAAGATTCCTTCTTCACCATGAGTCAGTATACACACAACCAAAGCATTCTCATTACTGTAGTCTTTAGTAGCTAACCCYTTGAAAATCTTCTGCGTTTCAGGGACAGTTTGGTCATTATAAACAAGAGTATTAAACATCAGATTTTTGAAGGCCTTCTCTAAGGCATCACGATCTACRTCTGTGCCGTTACGCGGGTACCTGTGCATGCCAGATGCYGGCAAGAAGGTCTTGTTRCTGATGATAATGGCCATGCCTCTCGGGTTTTTGTCCATCTTGTACATGCTTCTCATGTCRATGGATTCAGACGGTCTTGACCGACTGGACCCACTACCAAAAATGTTCAGTCCACCATCTGGATTGTCACCTTCTACAAAACAAGGCAATTTGTTAATTTTAATTATTATATAGATATYGATGAAATACCAGRTTTTCTCTAGTGTCAGAAACTTGATATCTTTCACCAGTGGAAGATACCATATCTTTCACACGTGRAGATATCRCTGTTGAATTGGCTTGCTATTTTACTTAATAAAGAATTTTTTGGCTTTGTTTTATTTAAGTTACATTGATATCTATATACTGAACTAAAAAGAACATTACATGGCCGCTTGGAGATACGAATTTTATCTTCTCGTGTKCAATTTAGAYATCTCACTCRTTCCCTGTGCTCACTCGTGAGATATCAATAGCTCAGCGCAGCCGTGACGTCATAAAAACGAAGACAAAGGCAAAATTCRGACAAACAAACTTACAAGTYTACTTTCAGCAGATAATTTTCACAGCCGATCGCAGTTGATCTTAGTTTACATGGGTTATTATYGTAACTTTAAGTAAAAATAATAAAATCGGTTCGTATAATCCTCGTAGYGGTTAAACAGAATGCAATGTTGGTCMGAATCTTTAAGCTATTTTTAGAATCAGCGCGCTGCGCTATTGAACACYTGAAGATAAAATTCGTATCTCTGCTCGCCCATGTAATATCCTCTATATATTTAACAAATAAGACAGCTTTTTTTAAGTAATGTATTTAACATGTATGTCACCAGTGCTTTCCTTACTACATAGTAATACAACATGCAGGATGTGTGACAAGGAAAAATGTGATGAAAAGAGAGAGCTTTAATTGGGTGCTATTCCATATTGGGCAACTKGGCTCAAAGAAATAGAAAATTTGGGCGGGCGCTCTGTGCAGTYATAAGGCACACAGGGATTGGCAGAACATGAGAGAACGTGAGAGAAAAACCACAATGCACAGCRAAWTGCTTCTCAACACTTCTTGAGTCTTMTGCAATTCTGCAAATATCACTCTGGGATCCTCACAAATATCCTACATTTCATATTCCGGCTGCGTTACCAGCGTGCTTGGTCCTCGTAGTGTAGTGGTTAACACATCGGACTAGAATACCAAAGACATGGGTTCAATTCCTGCCAAGGGCATTTGATATYTTTCTCTTATTCTCTCTATTCTGCAATTCCGCAAGTGTCTTAATAATACTTCACACACCACAGCAAGCAAGTTTTTATTTCTTTTATAAGCTACAAATTATAATAGCGAGAGTTTATATTTTTGAAACGAAAATGACCAATTACATTGAACAAGAAAGTGCATGCTCTGTGCTCTCATAATGCACAGGCCTCCAACCAATCAGAAAACAAGATTAATAATAGTAGTTTTATAAAGGGTAGTGGTGGGAACTCAGTTGCTATGGTTACCTGTTGGTCCATCTTCAGTTGCTGTKATAGGAGTTTTTCCTCCGATAGCACCACTGCTAGTGGTGACTGACGCTACAGACCGGGGATGTACCGAGCTGCGTGTAACTCTATCATCAGTCTCTTTTTCATTACCTAGAAAATAAACATGCAAAGTAGACTGAGTTTACAATTTTTCCAAGTACAAAATATATTTCTTACGATAAGTTTAAGAGTGTGTTGTGGAAAAACAATAATATAGATTTCAATTCTCATTTTTGCATGAAATGTATATTAACGTTAAAACTCAAAAACGTAACCAAGCACAACTCTCAACTCACAAGTTGATTTTTAGGGAGCGAGGAAAAGCAGTGAACCTGGAGAAAACCCCTTGTGGCAAGGGAGAGAACAACACATCAAACAAACTCAACTCACATGCTGATTTTATGGAGGGAGGAAAACCAGAGAAATTGGAGAAAAACATTCGTGGCAAGGGAGAGAACAACACATCAAACAAACTCAACTCACGCGCTGGTTTTTACAAGTGAGGGAAACTAGAAAACCTGGAGAAAAACGTTTGTGGCAAGCAGAGAATAAAACATCAAACAAACTCAACTCACTTTTGCAATCAAAAATTAATTTATAGCTCACTTGAAGCCTAGTGATCCGCGCACCTTCCAATCCAATATATGCATAATATATAAGCTCAATGTAATTACACTTAAAATCAAATTCATTCAATTCTTCCCATGAAAAATAAAATCAATTGGTTTGAAGGATTCAAATTAACCAAAGTATATCTTAATGAATTTTAATGATGTATTGAAATTAACTAATAGTATAATGTACTTAAGTGTGTTATTTCGTAATATTTTGAGATATTATRAACGCAAATAAGATTATATTAAATAGTCAAGATGAAATTGAAATCGAAATCCAAAGTGTATAATAAATTCTAATTATGATGTGTTAAATAAACTAGTAATGTTAACACAGTACGAAATGAGTGTAATTTATAATATTTTGAAATAATTGTAAACGCAAATAAAATCATATTAAATAATTAATCTTGTTGGTTTGTAGGATTGTTAAGTTTTTTCTACAAATGCTAGAGTAAATACAATATGAGCTTAAAATAGCAGGATCGAGGTATACGTATTTACTTCCAAGTTTCTGAGAAAGAGTGACGGATGTGATGCAATCATAGGGTCAACAGGAAAAAAATTCCCTTAGCAATAAGACGCCAAGTTTTACTCCAAGTATTGACGCAAATCTTTAAGCTAGAGTTAAAATACCGTATGTTGCAGTATTAAAGAAAATTTTGTACGATTTGTAAGTTTCGACAGGTATTTGTGGTGTTTTGATAGAAACAACGAGTGACAGATTTCAATCAAAAAATATACTTCTTCCTCTGTTACTTGATGTACAACAAGCTAAGCGTTAAAATCACCGTACCTTCGTTCGTAGCTGGGTTTATTAGCTGCTCTAGATGTGGTGAAATATCCTTTAGAGCGTCACAAAAAGCATTAAAGGCKTTGGGACCTTTTCTGGGCAAAATATCCAGCAATTTTTCAGCTCTCTCTGAATTAGTACCAGCATTCTTCACCGACTCCTTATCAAACTCATCAAAAATCCCGGTACCATACAAGTTTGATGCTATTTTAGACGCCTCTAAGTCCTGGACTAAAGCCCGRCGATGGCTTCTGAGGGCATCACGGTGTATTTGCTCCATCCTTACAGTAGTAAAATGAGTTTTTCTCGTGAGATTTTCAGCTGCTTTATACTTTGTTTAACCCAAAAATGAAATATGGTGGAAGTACCATGACGTCACTAGTACCAGTCTCTACCGTCCCTGCCCAAGGGGAAATTTCGGTATTTCTATATTTTCATGTAAAAATTTTTTTCCTAAAATTTAACTTTATTTACGATATTGAAACTGTGAGGGGAGTATTTTGGTACTGGATAATTTTGGTGATGATTTAGATATTTGGATAAGATGAATAACATGAGTTGCAACAAATAAATTAGTCATGACGGAGTCAGGCAAAAATATATGGGAAAATATTCCACTAAAAATTGCAACACGCACACAAACTCAATCGGTAAAAACTATCTTTATCAGTTTTGAGTTAAAGCTAGCTTWGAGTAAAAAGATAAAGTCAGTGAAAGACGAAATATGAACACTACGTGTCAAGTAAGGTGTGATGAAGCAATGAATAATTCAGTTAATTAAGATATGAAGATGAAAAATCTAAAAATAAATAAACATTCACTAATACCAATGGAAAAAGAAAATGTGAGTTAATTCTTACATTTATCTAAATTCGGTCTTCCGTCCACTTCATTGAGGCCGGCTATAACATCTTGTGAAGACATCGTCAACGCCATTGAATAATCTTTCAATCTTTATCACAATGAGAGAATGCCTCGAATATATCTGATTTACATCACCGCATCCTCCTTAATGAGTTTAACCAACTTCAATGTTAAAAAAGTGACGTTTCATGACGTAATTCAAGTAAAAAAAGGACAATGTAATATCCTTGCTGACGCCATGTAGGGCGTGGCATTGTAAAAGGTGTGTTTCCGACGGATACTGATCGGGATAGTCCCGGAAATTAGAAAGAACAAAGCACGAGATTTTGATTTATTAGTTTGGTAGGAATAATAGTCCTTCCTGTCTGTGCAGTAACCAAGAACCCTATTCGAGTTGCATCAGTTAATGTGAAGTAACTATGTKTGCGCGTTCGAATGATGATCGTAGAAATTGAACGCGCGGGTGCATTTTGTCATTTTCTTTGCCACTACATCACACGTACAGACATGCTAGGGTTTGCATGTGCACCAGGGTAGGAAAATTAGCGGGAAAATTACCAATAATTTTTTTAATTGGATTTCATCTCACGTGCTTACGCCTCCTAGTTCGYTCATGACATCATTGTGTATATTTTGCTGCCTCAACAGAAATCCAATTTCATGCAATTCAAATAATAGAGTTTTAGATTGGCTTTTTTTTCCACCCGCAAACGGCAAACGTGACCACGTTTTCATCGTTTTCTTGTATGTTACTTTATTTATTGCAAACTTTCATTTCACAAACATTCTTTTGTTTTTCTACTGCTTGGATTTTTTTGCGATTCCTTTTCAGCTATTTAAGAGAATTTTTCACTGATCAACTGACGTTACACGCTTGCCGTGAACGTCAATCTAAAACTCTCCAATACATGGTCTATGCATCACGTGAGTAGGATTTGTAGGGACTCCTTTGATTGGAAGGGTTTTATAGATTACAGTCCCCGAGGGTCGAGTCTGCATTACAGTGCATTGTGGGATTGTATGGGATTTCGGGTCTGATTCGTGTACTCTAAATCACATGTGATAGAGTGTGTAGGGCATCCCACGATTTGAAGGGTTTTGTAACATTCATTACTTAAGAAACAATTTTTCTACAAAAATTTCTTAATTATTTTATTGTTGATATATATATWTTTTAACAACATAATGATTATTACTCTCGTGTGAGTAAATTATACTTTGCAAGAGTAAATTCTAACAAATGAAACAAAAGATTATGACCTTGCGAGTTGACTCTATATAATACATGGATTGTTATCTTGAATCAACTTTTTATCACTATATTATTGTATCTTATCTCTATTATTATTGATGTATATACAGTACATATTCACACTAATTTATTACCAGAAAATATCTATGCTCCTCTCCTCAACCCCTCCCCCTTGAGTAGGAATGCTCCCCCCACCCCACCCCCGATACAAACAAAACAGTGGCATTCCAACACAGTAACCATATATATTTACAATATGTTGCTAATTCTAAACACTCAGACTATCYGCACAACCCAGAATCCCTCTTGAAGCAGTTTTTGATATTCAATGAATTTGGTAGTTGCAAGCTGCCGATTTAATTTTTTGTTGTYGTCAATCAAAAATAAAAAGACAGTACCTTTTATGTTTTTGACTGGCGGCAGTGAAAAACTAAGTTCAGACAAACCAATAGATGAGGGATGGAGCGCCTGCACACAGGCTAGCTGAATATTGAGTTTCTTACTAAATCAACAGTAAATCCCTATCCATAGGAAAGGACATTTTGAATGATATATTGTTATTAATGAGTTGGTTGGTCATGTTAACCAAGTAAAATAGTTTTCGCTTGGTCATACCTCATTTCTGGCTCAATGTTACTGGTCAAAATGACCAGTAAGGCAAAGATTTGATGGACAAGTTTCTAATTCTAGCCAGACATTGTCAGATGACCAGCCATTACATTTCAACTTGATTGGCAATCACCCAACAAACTAAACAAACTGATAAAAAATAGCCATACGGGGGGTGGSGGTTTGTAGAGTATTAGCTTTGTTGCTTTCCCAGAAAAATATTGGCATAAAATAAAATTGTCTGAACAGCCCCCTCTCCCCAACTTTATACAAAGAACTTCATTGCTTGTTCTGTGTTAGATGAATCCAATATCAAACTATGATCATCCTCAAATGCAGAAAAGACTAGGTAGTACTACTGCTATGACTAAGTTGGCCTATGAAATAGCTTTGTGTGTACAATATTTCTTACTAAGGAGAGGCACGTTTTTTATTTGGGTGGAGGGGGGTGGGGTGAACGCTGGGGATTCAGAGGGGGGTCCACTCAAAATTTGAACATTTCTGGAAAGTCAAACTGTGTTATTTTGAAGAAGGTTATTTCCTTAGGGTCATGAATTTCATAATAGGTGAAAGGTGGAGAGCTACAGCCATTATTTAAATGTTTACTGCGAATCCCCCAGACCTCCCCCCAATAAAAAACGTACCCTTCTTAATTTGAAATAGTAGAGTGCATAACATATGTCCATGAAARACTTTGTAAGAAAGTGCAGAAATTGCAAAAATTAGTAAGTTCAGTAGGCCTCAGTAGAGTGCAAACGTTTAATCCGTGAAACACTAATTACTAAATAGTACAAAATAGTGCTAATAAAACAATAGAAAACAATGGAATTTGCATGAAACTGTGCTATTTAGTATTACTAAAGTTTCACGGTTATATTGCTTGCACTCTAGACCCTAGACCTATGAAACTTTGCACCAATTCGTACAATTTTGTTAGTTGACTTTTCCACAGATATATGGTATGCACCCTATAACTATAACTGTTAATGGTAATTTGGTWAGCATTAAGAGAACAAAAAAATATTCATTTAGAAGACAATCCCTCCCTTCTAAAAAGCCTTAAATTAAATATGGGGTGAAGAATTTGTTTTGATCTTCAAGATTATGCTTGTATGATACATGGTTCAAACATAAAATAAGAAACCACTTCCAAGTCCTTTCAATCAATTATTCTTTGGCCTAGAACTGCAATAATAATAGCAGTAGTCTTATTTTAAATGCGAAATAACCCAAGTCTAAAAATGAAGTTGTCAAAATTCTAAATTTTCCTTTCTCTGGTCTGTAATATAAATTTCAATTTTTTTCATGTTGATGGTTTGAGCTCTGTTAAAGGAAGTGCAATGTGAATGACAATATAGTGCATACCATATTATATCTGTGAAAAACGTTTGATTATTAACGCAATGAGAATATCAACGCAATGAGAATATCAACGCAATGAGAATATTAACGCAATGAGAATATTAACGCAATGAGAATATTAACGCAATGAGAATATTAATGCAATGAGAATATTAACGCAATGACAATATTAACGCAATGACAATATTAACGCAATGAGAAGTATACTTTGACCTACAAGATTAATTTCAGCCACAATGTGCAATGCTCTCGAGGGAGTGTACTTCCTAGGGAGATAAGAATCACACTAAAGGAAAGTCCAGGTCGTTAGCCAGGCAGACCTTGAATCATTATTAAAAGTGGACAATTGCTTGCCATTTTTCATTTCTTGAAAACACAAGGCAATAATAACAATAGAGAAACGGTAACGATGAACTAAGTTTGGAATTTGTTGTCCCATTTTCGTAGCTCATTCATTTGGCGACAGACTTTTCCCAACTTGRAATATTTATCAGCCAAATCAGACATCTTGAAGAAATTTCATATTGGAGAAGCCAGTGTCTTCAGAGATGGATTTAACACAAGGTATTGACTAGCTATTTGAATATGAACAGCAATAGATCATTTTGCTGACATGGCAGCCATCTTGAATTATGGGTGTGCCAGGATTATTTTTTCAAATAACTAGTTTTGGTGTTTCACATAATATTGTTCCAACTGCTTGCAAATTCTATTCCATTCCCTAGGGAACATTTCACCCTCTTACTTTTCAAYGTGCTCAACTCTAGCATGGATTTTCAGGAGTGATTGGCTCCCTGTTTAAAGAGACAATTTTGTCCAAGGATTTTTTGACGCGGAGAGCTGTAAGTCGTGCAGAGGGGTTGTGCGACCAACATTCTGACATCAGCTTACCCATTACTCTCAATGTCTGAAATGCATATATCAATATAAACATATGAATATAAAACATAATATGAGAAACTTATAAGGAAGGTGAAACTTATAAGAGAGTGCAAAAGTATGAGTCAAAACTTATAAGGGAAGGCATTTGGGGGGGGGGTGGAGGGAAGGAAGACTGAGGCAATAGCCCACTTCCGAGATATGCTTTGCTTGTCCCAGGGAGGGGGGTTCTCTTGCCAGTTTATGGTAGGGATGTGCCACTGAGCCTACTGAACCCTGTTCCTCTTCCAGAGTAAAATCGCTGAAATGCATACCCTGTTCCAGAGCAAGATAGCTGTTCCAGAGAGGAGAGAGCGTGATTTCATATACCCTGTCCCAGAGCGGCAAGATTTTATATACCCTGTTCCAGAGTAGAATCACTGAAAACCATATCCTGTTTGGGGGCACGTACCCCGTATAGCGAATATGAGGGAATACCCCCCCCCCCCCCCCCCGGGCACTTGTCACTCACAAAGGGTTTCAGTATGAGGCTAAATGCTCAGTCATTCGTGACAGGCGGTAAGAATTAATTTAATTTAGCACGTAGCCTCATACTGAAACCTTTGTTGTATCTCGGAGGTGGGCTATTGCAGCAAACTTTTTAAAGATAGTTGTAACCCTCCCCCTTTACTCAGTAAGAAATGGATGACCCTCCTGTTGAGCAAACAAGGAAACAGCTTTCATAAAAGTAACACAGTATGATCCTCCATGAAAGTTCAAATTTTTACTGATAGAGTGCTCGCAMTAAACCTGTGAAACAAATACTAACTTTTTAGTACTAAATAGTGATGACTAAACAATAGGAAACAAAGTATTCTGCATAAAATAGTACTAATTAGTACTAATTATTGTTCACGGGTTTAGTGTGTGCACTCTAACATTTTTGAAGCTCAAGAAAAAAGCTGAATATTCCGGAGCATCACACTTAATAAATGAATGGCTGTTACACGTTTCAACCCCCTTATCAGTTTCTGATAGACAWGACTAAAT